GAACTTTATCTGAACTGTTCTAGCTGTCCATACCTCTGAACTACATTTGTGGGTATTTCGTAGAGGACAGAGGGCTTGAAATCATGTTTTCAGTGTCAGGCAAAGTTTAACAGCTGCTCTAGAGCCAGAGCTTAGGGTAAAGCAAGAGTTATTTGTTGCTGGGGTTGGCCTGAGTGCTAGAGCTGTTGTATGAAGATACTGAGGAGATGGTGTACAGCCTGTTGGCTGCATTGTCAGCTCTGCCTCAAACTGCCCTTCTGCTGAATGGTGCATTTCATCATAAGCTCTTAAGTGTGGATTTTGCCCTCACTCCCTTCACTGCAGATTCCCCCATGGTAGGTACAGTCAGAGCTAGTCCTGAAAACTTTTCTTTGTGACTGCAGCTACTCTGTTGAAGGTACTGGGGAATCATACTGTGTTAAAGACAGAAAGTTGTTTTTTTTCCTCAGAATTGCTTCTTTCCTTTTTCCCCAGATGTATTCAGTTCCATTTACTGCAAATAGTCCTTTTCTAGCTTGAATATTTCCAGTTCACAGGGCATGGAGATACAACCAAAGCTCTATCAGCCATGTGTGGGCTGATTAAATATTTGAGTGTTTGCAGGTGATGAAGGTGGCTGAATTTTATTATTTAGAATGTTTACAATAAAAATGGACAAAGATAACACCCAGAATTTTTCAAGTTGACTCTGCACGTTTAAAATATGTTCTCCAGTTCGTGGGTGGAAGTAGAAGCATTCTGTGTGGGTCCAAAAAATCCCAAATTTACTAGAACTGCTACCACCTAGTGGTGGCTGCCTCTATTGTAAAATATAAAACAAGCTGGGGTTATTTCATTTAATGTAGGGAAAATAATAAATCATCAGCTCATCTGACTGATAATGTCAGCCTACATGTACCATATCCATTTCCAATAGTCTGTTTGTTCCAATTTTGAGGATTATTTAAGTGATGGGTTTTCTAACACTTCTCTTGGGATGTTAGGGATATTTGTCAATAAACACTTGCTTTAGCACCAAAATGTTTTTCATTGCATCCTGTTTTGTCTACGAACTTCACAGCATCTCAAGCTCTACTCTGTATTCCATCATAGTTCCAGGAAATTAAGAATTAAGCCAGCAAGCTCCCCACCTTGATCTGTAATCTGCCCTTTCATCTGAAATTTTTCACATTTGGTGTGGTGTCCCTCTTCATAATTTGGTTTGCGTATGTATGAAAGCAGTTCCCTCCTCTTTGTCTTTCTTGCCACCAATAAAACATGAAGTGGATTCTTCTGACTGAGCTATCTGAAGACTGCAACTTGATTTGTAAATACACTTCAGCAAAACAGTCTTTCCTTTCCACAGTTTGAAGTAAAAATGATTTTGGCTACATCTAAAGAGTGGTTTCTTTCATGCAAGTGGAAAAGTTTTTGGATTCTCAGATGGAGTGCTTGAGGTTTAGCTTATGAATACATCTCATGAAAAGTTCTTTTTTTCCCAGGAGCTGACGAGGCAGCTGCTGAGTTACTAGTGCTTGTTTTGTGTCGCCTGCTTCCCTGGGTCCTTACTTCTCTGCTCTTTTCCTCTTTCTCCCTAATCCTGCACATCCTCTTTGACTCTGGTGTCAGAATTGAGATCTTCAGATAGTGTCACCTTCTCTTCATTCTGGGGGAGTGACACACTCTGGTTGCACATGACAAGGTAACATACTCTGCTCCTATGGTTGCTGAAGATGTGGCAGTGGGTGGGAGCCTTGACAAGTCGATTTTTCCACTCTTGTCCTCTTGATTCACCAAGTGTAAATTCTGTGGGATAACAAATGGACCGGAAAGCGTTTTACAGCCTTAGTAAGTGAAAGATGGGAAAGGGGCAAAAGAAACAGCAGGCCTTTCCTGTGCATCCTGTTTCTTTCACCACCTGGAATCGAGTGACTGCTCTGCACCATAAATCAGCTGAATTCTGGAGACGGGAATTACCCATTTGAGAGGAGCTGAGTCTTGTTGGAGGGATGTTTGCCCAGATTTGAAGCCTTAGTCAAAATCCTCCTCCTTATGTAAGATAGAAGCCTGCAGGAGCTGTGTGGCCAGCAGGGTTTCTGTTGCTGCAAGAGGCATGTAAGCAGGAAGAAAACAGTAGTGCAGACCGGGCCTAACCTCTGCTGGAGTGGATGAAGCAGCTGCCAGTGCAAGACTACCCTTGCAGCCATCCCTTGCACTGCAGAAGTACCACACTGGAGCTGGCACAATTGTCTTCACAACCATTGTGTTTACCACACACCTTCACAGTTCCCCTGCTGCTATTCCAGTTCATCAGAAGCAGAACTGGGCTGATTCTCACCCATCCCCAAATAACCAGGATTTGTGCAAAGCAGCTCACTTTTTCACCAGCTGTAGAACCAACTGCACAGGTTGGAGTTAACCACAGAGCAGCTCAGCTAGTCAGGAGCTGCTGCTTTACGTGAAGTGCATGCATGAAGTTTCCTAAGGGGCCTGTGAAACTTCTTGTTGACAAGGAAAAGGGCAGGTCTGGTTTGTGCAGGTAAGGAGGAGAGCACTCCTCCAAGCACGTACACATGTCATCATATCCCTGGCTATGTCACTGCCTGATTTTTGAGTGTTCCTTCAGGGGTGCTGGACCCAGAGGAGCTTCAGAAGAGAAGGCCTCTGTACACTTGTGTTCCCAGGGTCTGGAGTGGGCTTTGCCCTTTGTGAAAGCACATTGTTTAAACTTGTTTTTCCTGATGTTGACCTCATCTGTTTGCCTGTGCCAGTACATCACTTACCTGTGGACCACCTATCCCTTGAGTGCACCAGAGTTGTAGGCCATGCATGCAAGAACAGAATAACAGCTGGGAAGAGGCCCAGGACAACAGAAGAGGGGCAAGAAGGAGATGGAGTTCAAGTACAATTTACTAAAGAATGAGTATACTGTAAGAAAAAGAATATCTTCTTGAAATACTAGAGGAAGAAAAAGTTACAGAAAAACTGGAAAACTGTGAATGATACACGACATTGAGTGTCAAAGTTGGGACTTCTGTATTAAGAGTTTTAAGACATACTGGTTTTGCCTTGCTCTTACCTTGAGTGTCACCCATGGATATTCTCCTCCGCTCACTTGGCTTCTGATGTTTCATGTTGAAAAACCAGGAAAAATACTCCCTCTGCGTCAGTTGTTTTCTGTTTGGTCAATAAAGAGTTACAGAAATCTCTCTGGGTATGATTAAGAGAAACATTTTCCCATTTTGCTTTCCTTGTGCTCTTCACTCATCTCCATCCTAACAGAGCTCACATGGTTTCCTGCCCCTCTCCCTAATGAACCCCCTCTGTGCTGTGCTGGCAAGCTTTCTTTGGCCTAACAGACATCCCATCGGGGGAGCGTTTCCTGACCTCGAAGGGGATGAGATAGGGCAGCCCATGTCTGCTTTCAGACATCCCCATCCTCACATTCTGTAGCCTTACACACAGATTCGGGCTTGCTTTCGTGTTTCAATGGGCAGATAATTAGATGAGCAATGAATTTTGTGTAATCCACTGTCTGTGTAAGCAGATCTGTTTTGATGAAAAGGTGAGATTACTTTTTGTGATAGATCACTTCTCCTCCTTACACTTCCCCAAGAAGTGTATCAAGAGCAAAAGTGCTCCTTCGCTATCACCAGAAACACTGCTACACTTCGACACTTGTTTAATGGCCATTTATTATCACTAGTGAGAGGAGATGGGGCCAGTGCAAATCATGTTGCAAGGCTACATTCAAACTAATAAGTGCCTGAGAACCATCTTCTCATCTTCTGCTTTTACTCTTTGCTTAGGGAAAAAAAGCCTGTAATAGGAAATCTAGGCAGTTTGGAGACAAGCACATGTTGTACTGTGTCAAACAGAGAACTTGCACTGCTCATCTGGAGTCTCTAAGTCCCTGTAGTTACTCAGCAGCTATCGTTCTTGCTGATGAATGTTGAAATGCTGGGTGGGTTGTGGGCTCCTTTTTCTGCTTGCTGTCAGTATGAAGGAGGCGGGGTGGAGGACTTAAAGGAAAGTTCCAGCTTTCAGAAAGCACGACTTGCGAAATTTATGTCCTGGAACAATTCCTGGGAAGTGGCACTGGGGATGCAGTTACATGCCATGCATCAGCAGCAGCTTTGGTCTCCAGAGCCAGACCAGCTTATTTCCTATTTACAAATACACCCTTTGTGTAGAGCTTGGAAGGAGTACAGCTCTGTTCTCCTTAAGCACCTTACCTGTTTCAGTTTTTTGGACATATGTTACATCTTCAGGAACATTAATGCTGCAGACGGGTAAGTAAGCAGAGGACACCATTAAGGATCATGTCTTATGTAATTTTTGTCTTCTTGTATGTTACCTGTGGAACAGCAAAGCCTGTTACTGTCCCTTGGCTTTATGTTTTGACTCCAAGTGGCATATCAAAGTCTCAGGTGTGGATGAACTTCCACATCTTCCACTTTTATGGTGTATACCCGACTTTTTAAGCCAACTTCTGTGTTACTGTCTGCACTATTTACATTTACTTGTACGAGATGGTTGCATGAGGCCTTTACATTTCCTTGGAAAAAAACATTTCCTGCTACACAAAAATTAGTTTGATAAATATGTAGGTTGTATATTATTTCAATCTGTGTTAACGTTTTTCATACACAAGTTACTTGTAATACATCCATTTGTCTCTGGATGGTCTGAGATAATGACCTCAGCTCTTCTTTACTGTCTCAGCATATTGTGTTCTTCAGTTAAAAGCAATTCTATTATAAACTATTTCAAGAAGCTGCTGAGATTGTGAGTCTATTTCAGAAAAGAAAGCATTTTGTGAAAGAGTTTGTATCATCTTGTTAAGTGGGTTCTGTGGTGTTTTGATCTCTTTTCAGCTGTTAGTTACTGGCCTAGGTCACAGACAGAAGAAACAGATGTTGGGATGCTTGATCAGAAGCAATGCTCCTGGGTCCATGTGCAGGCTCACAGCTGGTAGTTGGGAATCGTCCCACTGAAAGTTTCTCTGTGTTTCCTTGCAGAGCGCCAGGCAGATGCAGAGACACTAGCTTCAGGAAACAATGTCTTGAACCTGAGCTACAGCGAGAAGGAGCAGTCAGAGGAAATGACAGAGCTTCCAGAGAGTGAGCGTGGCCCCAAGGAGGAGCAGAAGGCTGACTCCCTTCTGGCAGAAGAGGATGCTGAAGAAAAAGTGGATGGATATGAAGAGGGCCCTGAGGAAGATTCTGTAAGTAACAAAAGTCTTGACCTCAATTTTGCCAGCAAATTAATGGACTTCAAGCTGGCAGAGAGTGACCAGAGTGCAGGCAGCAGTTCTCAGACTGAAAGGAGACATGCCTGTGACATTTGTGGCAAAACCTTCAAGTTTGCTGGCACTCTTAGCCGTCACAAAAAGGCCCACATTCGTGAGGACAGAAAGGATGAAAGGAGCAGTGAGGATGAAAGCAAAAGCATTCAGGATGATGCAGGAGCTCCCTCGATGCAGGAGTCTGGTCTTGAGCAGGAAGAGTCTCCGTTGGACTTGAAGGTAGTGGAGTCTCCTGTGGACTTTGAGGCAACAGGAAAGGAGAATGAAGAGAGCGAAAGCATCTCTGAGGGGGAAGGCACAGAGAGAAAGTCCACTGAGAAGAGCAGTGATGACAAACCAAAGACTGATGGGGCTAAGAGTACTGCAAAAGCAGACAAAAGAAAGAAAGTCTGTACTGTGTGCAACAAGCGTTTCTGGTCTCTGCAAGATCTGACGCGACATATGCGGTCTCATACAGGTAAGAGGAGGCTTGAAGGCAGAACAGGCCATGAGGTGTCCCACCAGACTGAGGTGTCTGCTCTGGAGGTGCACAATTGCTGCTGGCACTTGAGGTTGGAGACACTGCTTTTAGTCCTAAAGGTATTCTGCAAGGTGTCTTCTGTGCCCCAGTCCCCCATGCTGCATACAAAGCCTACGGAGGGAACAAGAATTGCAGCCACTGCCTTATTTTCAACTCCCAAACTGTTTTTCCCCATGATTGCTTGCAGAGTTCAGAGGCGAGGGCAAGTGTGGAGATCCTTGGGCAGCTTCTGCCTCCCTTCTTACCATGTGTGTGGCTTTACTTCTTCCCAATATTTTGACCAGCAGTGGAGAACTGTCATACTGATACCGTTATCATGAGACTTCACCTCTGAGTCAAAGTTTAGACAGAGAGAGATAAAGAGTCTGGTTTTGTCTGATGATCTCAGCCTAGTATGGGTAACATGCTGGTGATGTGTGTGACCTGCTGCTTGGGTGGAAAGCAGAGATTAGCTGGGCACTTGGGCAGGAAAGCTGGAACACAGGTGGTGAAACACTTGCCCAGTGACTTGACCGGGCAGTGGGATTGCTTTATGTAGGCAGATTGCAGCAGTGCCTTGCAAATGAGATGAAGCCATGAACCAGCCCAAAGGTGAATGAATCAATCATTCATCTTTATTAATTATGTATTTTACGTGCCAGCAAGCTGCTCTGACATGGGAAAACTGGTGCTTTTTGACAGTTTGTGTCTTTTGAAGGTTCTCTCTGCTGAAGACAAGATCTTTGCCATTAACAAAATATTTGTGCTGTAATTGACAGTGATTTTTAGAAAACTACAGCAAAATGTAACATGTGAAGTAGACTTCAACCCTTCTAAATCATAAACATTGACATATTGAGTGCAAAACTGACCTGTTTTCTTCTGCCATTGAGCCACAAGTGAAATGGGACAGGTCCCATTCTAGTGCCTATTTTAATACATATGCAGAAGTTTTGGGGAAATGCTGATATCTAAAGTACTGAGCTTTATCCCCAAACAATGTTTGTTTGCCCATGGATGTTTCCATACTCTGTTTTAATTGCTTTCATTGCATGCTGGGTTATTGGGGACTATATCAGTATGTTTTTTACCTGTTTGTTTCTCTTTCTTATTTGACACTTGAAGGATGTTTTAACACAGAATAGGTGTGGAATAGGAACCTGGCACAGTGTTTTCTTCAAATTCATAAATGTAACTGTGGTCTACCCCCACTGTCGGGTGTATTTTCAGCTGAGGATTTTTCACCAGTGCTATGGGTTGACCCTTCTCCTTGTCCCCTTCCTGCTTGTTCAGCTATATTGGCAAAATACTTTCAGATTGCACATTGCTTACACTTCAGTTTTAATGTGTGAAGTTTTTTAAAGATAACTGTAAGATTTTGGGATTTGTTTACTCAGAAGAAGAATGTTTGGGACACACTGAAGTGTGCAAGAAACCTCTGCCTGCCTACCACGTGTCTCATTCTGATGTTCATTGGCACAAGATGGCGTCTTGATGGAATTTCAAGTCTTCAAGAGACACAGTTAGAAAGAGAGGACAAGTTGGGGTGGGACCTTTGGTTCTTCAGGGCAGACAGCGCCTTGGGGCAGTGTGCATGGCTCGTATTTTGGGAGAATTTTGTCTGGGGGGCTGTGGTTTTCCAATGAGTTTCTGCTTAGGAAAGTATTCTCTCTCTCCACATGTGTCTGGGGCTGACTTGCAGCAGGGACTCAGTGTGGTGGGCTGGTTTCATAATGGCTTTTGAGTTCCAGAGACTGACTATAAACTTTTTCCAGAAAAATTGCTGACTAAATTAGGCAGGATGCTAGTGAGGTCGTCCTCCCTCCTTAGTGCAGGGCCTTGCCAAGCTTGTAGACATTTAGTTTTGATGCTCCATTTGTGCTGTAGGCATTTACCTGTATTCCTGCTTGCACTCCATCAGCTGGTTTTCTAGTACAGAAGTAAAAAATCTGCATAAATGTGATGTTCGATGTGGGTACTGAATTTCCAAAGTGCATAGTGTTTTACGTTGCTTGAAACAAGAGGGAGGTACGTGTGTGACCTCACAGCTGACTTCGTGTTGTAATTCTCTTCCAGGTGAGAGACCTTACAAGTGTCAAACCTGCGAACGGACCTTTACTCTGAAGCACAGCCTGGTCCGTCACCAGCGCATCCACCAGAAAGTCAAAAATGCCCGAAACCACGGGAAGGAGAGCGACAAGGAGGAGACGCAGTCGAGGTGTGGAGAAGACAGTGAGAATGAGTCCAGCCACAGCGGCGCCAACCCCATCTCCGAAAGCGAGTGCGACTCCGCGGGGGGCGTCGGTAGCCACTCATCCCTCGTGGGGAGCCGGAACGAGCCCCTGGCCAGCATGGTCATGGACTCCCCCTGCGGAGAGGAGAGGAGCAGCGCCTGCCTCGCCGAGCCCACCAAGAGCGCGCAGAAACAGACGGCAAAAGGCCAGGAACCACGGGGCAGCTCCGAGCACGAGAGGCCCTCAGGTTTCATCCAAGACTTGCTGGAGATGCACAACGCGCCATCTCCCATGAATCACATCCTGGCCTCTGCAGACAGTGCGCCTCAGCTCTTGGGGGTGGAATGACTTGCTAGGAGGTTGTACCCATCTCAGCAGGCAAACTGAAGCCAGCAGAGCAAGGTTTCTGGAGTCTGGTTTTGGAAGAGCGACCTTACAGCTACCGGGGAGAGTATGGCAGACTCGATGTGGTGCCATATGCCTTTCAGTATAATAATGCAAGAGACTACAGTATATACTGATTTGAGTGCCTTACTACTTTATTAGATCTTTTGGTATTATAGATTTTTTCAAAAATGATTTTAATATTTTAAAGAATTATTTGGAGAGGACCCTTTTTCATTTAAGCATTAATGTTACCTTTTGTATTGGTGTGTGTGAGCTTGTTCTTGTATATCTGTGATAGTCGCTGTGTTTTGTTCTCTGAGCTGGAAAAGGGGCAGTGGGGGTGGGAGGCCCTTGGATACCATAGCCAATAACTGGAAGAAAAATGATGTGAATTTCAAATGGAATAGTCAGAGGAGATGCAGAGGAGACATTGATTTATTGTTTTTTTTTTTTCTCAGTAGATGTTCTTGCATTTGCCACATGGTGGAGCATTAAGCCTGTTCCAGGCCTGAACAACGTGGCAGTTGAAGGTGTTCAAAGTGGTTCAAGCCAAAAGCAGGAAACACAAAAGAATTTCAACCTCATGCTTGTTTCCACTTTTCAGCATTAGAAGTGGTCTTCTGAATCCTAGGGGTTTTTTCTGGCCGTCACGGACTGAGCGTGTATACAGAGAAGAGTTACATAGCAACGTAACCTATGGGAATTATGCACCCGCTGTTACATATGTTTGATTTGCTTCAGTATATTATTATAATTATTATTATTATTTTATTATTATTTTATAAATCCATCAGTTCGCTTGTCTCTGCAGTCAGCAGAAGCCAATGGGCAATATTTGCCCACGGAGATGCGTAGAGCAGCTCGGATCCCGTCTCGGAGTGTTCTTGACTCGTCGCTTTCACCAGCTCCTCCTCCTGTTGTTGCAGCTCTTCTACTGTACTTTACATGAACCCCTTCCTCCGACCGGAGCGTCCCGCAGAGGCCGGCGGGGTGCCGTCCCCGTGCGGGGGCACATCTCCCTCGCGGTGGGTGCGCGCGGCTGCGGCTGCGAGCGCGCGGCCGGGGCGTGAGAGAGGCACCGCGAGTGCCGCAGTGACCCCGCTGCCGTCACGTCGGTGACAGCCTGCGTCACTCACAGAGCAAAGTTATTCCAGTCTTCCAGTGGAAAGCAAGAGAGAAATGCGAGCCTTACCCTCCTCTTGCTTCTGTCGTGTTCTAAGAGCAAGAAAATACTACTGGTAATAAAACTGCAGATATACGACGTGTTAAAAATAAATAAAATAAATTTAAAAAAAAAAAAAGAAAAAAAAAAAAAAAGAAATAAATTCTTCCTGAGATTTTGGGGTTGATGCTTGAAGACTTCAGGTGTGTGTCTAAATTTCATATCAGTAATTTAACCCCTTCAGTGCTGGCAGCTGGAATTTCTCCGTATGGCTCCTGTTGCCGGCAACAGGTGACGCTCCAGCCACCAATATTGAAGGGGTTAAATGAAATGTATCCTACTGTAGCTGCGCATTTTTAGGAGTGCCCAGCATTTTTGTTGTCCTTGTCCTCGTTGTCGTTATTGTTGTTTGTTAATTGTCCTTCAGTCATGACCTCTGGGACAGACAGAGCCATAATAGCATTGCCGGAGCCTCACTGTGCTGTTCCACCACTGCAGCCCCCCAGCCCAGCCCGCACTGTGACCCTCCCTCCTTCCCACCGCAGAATCGCTTTTCCTGCTCTCACCAGACATGGAGGAAGTGGGCCTCGGACCCAGTCTATATTATATAATATATATATCTATATATATATCTATATATTAAAAATTCTCGGAAAAATTTCTGGAGACTGAAATCTCACTGTCCAGAATTCAAAGGAAGAGAAACGTTCTTGAGTAATATTCTTGCAAATAGAATAAGAGAAAATGGTTGAGGTATATGTGATTTCTATTTTTTTGTGTTTTGTTGGTTTTTTTTTTAATTTTTAAATAGGGATGTTTGAACCAGTTCAGAAACGAAGCTAACGCCAGATATAGATAAATCAATCACAACCAATGATTCATTTGAAACTCTACCCAGGTGCATTCTACTTAATTAAAACCAGTTCACGCATCCCTTAAATTGTTATTACTATTATAATTATAATAATAATTATTATTATTATTATTTTGGGTATTTTTTGGTTTTTGTAATTTTTTTGTTTGTTTATTTTGGGGTTGTTGTTTTGTTGTTTTGTTTTTGTTTTATTTTTCTTTTTTTTGCAACTCTCCACACTAAACTGCGCAATACTGTGGGGGAGAAGCCATTACTAAACTATATGCTGCAGAACAATGTAGCAAGTAATTAATTCCCAGCAGCCTGCCGGGACATCTGCTAGCAATAATCACTATTGATTTAAAGCTTTATTTAGCCTTTATCTATATCCTAGTAGAGTATAAGGTCTTGCCACATTTTATTGACATTTTTATTAGTTGAGTTTGACTGAGAACTGTTGCTGTTGTTGGGGTTTTTTTTGTTTCCCTTCCTCCCCCAATATTAAACTGTGAAATTTATAATGTGTTTAAACTATGGGTGAATCTTAGGCTTTAGTTTGCATGTTCAGCTAATTTGTCTCTATACGATTTTCGTTTGAATCTTTTTATTTTTTTTCCTCTCTCAGGGCTTTTACAAAAAACAAAAAAACAAAAAGAAAACAAAAAGAAAACAAAAAAAAATCTTCTAAAATTCTTTTGCCTGAGTTGCAATGGACTTAACATGGAGATAATTCAATCACTACATTAAGCACTTGACTGTGAAAGCGCAAAATAAAATAAAGGAAAAAGAAAAAAAAAAAGAGAGAACCTTGTTTGAGGCTGTTGTGAAATAACTTTAGGGGGCTATGTGACAGTCTGATTCCATTTTCAGAATGATTCATCTTCTCTTTCCTCTCTGCGTGTCTCCTTTCTCTTCTCTCTCCACGAAGGAAGTTTAATCCTAGTGATTTCATCCCATGCAGGAAACAGTAATAAATGTGTAGAATTCATATTTTTCTAAAGGGAACTTAAACTGCTGCTACGAATTGTGTACAAGACTGGTTTATGCCACATGAACAGAGAATCACACATTGTTTTGGTACTTTTATTCCTCTTTTTTTTCAGTTGTACAGTACTTCCAAATTCAAAATAAAAAGTAAAACTTGTTCTGTATCAAACCATCTAAGCAATAAAATGTTATATTTAAAAATTATAGGTTACTAAATGGGCATGGCTCTTCTTGTGGGTTTATGGTGACTTGTTCTTAGACTTGGCGCTGCTGGAGGACGATGTGCAAGCCGGAGTTTATCTGTGTCAATGGATCACTGTTTCTCTTCCTTCAGTTGATCTGGGTTTGAGCTGGAGATGATTGCAGCACTCTGAAAACTCGTGTTCATTTTGACCAGCGTTTTCTGCTAGCCAGGCCCCTTGGAAACGCTGCTTGTCTCCTGGTGCAGCTCCTCAACGCAGCAACTGAAGACAGCAGAAAAGTGCTGATTTTCCTGCATAGACAGGGTCAGGATTCTCTTTTTTAATTAATGGTAGCCGTGTGGTCACATAGGTGAGCATCCTCCCAGCATGTAGTGTACCAGTCACTTCTTTTATAAATTAAGTAGGTTTCTGCTACCATAGTTTTCTTCTCGCATAAATGTTTATGGCGGCAAACTCTGCAGGATGTATTCAAAAGCCACGTGCATGTGTCAAAAAAAGAGACAAGTCCTTTGTTTTAGCTTGTCAGAGCTGCTTTAGCTAGCTGCATTTTATATGCCTTCCTATAAATAAAACCCATTTCACAGGACAGGGAGCCAAAGAATCACGTGAGTTGTGTATCCAGCTCTGGAGGCCAGGGAATTGCAGTGAAGCTGAAGCATCCACACCTTCCTAAGTCCTGCTGCGGTGGTGCTTTCTGGCAAAGAAGTGAACCAGGTTCAGAATGAGAGACCAGACTTGGGGGTGAACTGCTGCTGCTTTCCTCCCTCGAGCCTTCTGCACCTTCCTGATGGAGGTCAAAATTCCTCACAGCATTTTGTCTGCTGAGGAGACCTTGGTCCCTCACCCCCAGAGAGGGACAGGTTAAAACAGAAGCAGTCAGCCAGCCAGCTCAGCCCCAAACCAAGGATATCTGACGAAGTGGGGCTCTGAAGGCCCTCTGGGTGAGCTCATGGGGTGGGAACATAATTTCTGAGGAAGGAAACCTGCAGAAAATCATTTTCCCTCCCACCCACTGACCTGAATCGCCTCTCCTCTCGTGAGACTGATGGGAAGCTCGCATCCAAGTGGCCCAGGGACCTGTCAGGAGGTGTAAAACCAAATGGGATGAGTTCATGTGGCTAGGAAGTGATGGTGACTAATAACTTACAAAACAGATGACTTAGAAAGTGTTTGGTTCTTGGCCATGGAAGGGTGTAATTGCTGTGCCCAGTCCTTTTCTCCTTCTACCTCAGTTTGAGATCTCTGTTGCTGATTTGGGAATTCCTCTGCTCTTCTGGCCTTGGACAGGGTAACACCCTGCAGGCCAGCTGAACTTCTTACTGGCATTTCCCTTTCCCTCTTCCTGCGCCCACTCCTTCTTATACTAACACCCATGGCAGCAATAGCTGGAGCTGGTCTGAAACACCAGGTTAGCAGAGAGGTGGGGAGGCGGTGGTGGTATCTCTGTGTGCCTCCTCCCACTTGCTGCTTCCTCCCCTCGTTCCCTAAAGCTTTTTTCCCCACCTTGGCAGGGGTGAAGCTGAGCTGAATTCCTGACGTGGACAGGGAGAGTGGCTCAGTCCCTCTGTGAGGCACTGCTGTGGATCTCTCACAGCAGAGCTTCAGGCAAGGAGGCCCTGTGCTCTCCCAGAGCATTAAAGTTTGGGGAAGACCCGAGTGCTATGCCAGCACACAGATGCCTTGGTAGCAAGGGGCACCAGGAAAGTGTTTTTTTTTCTGAAGTGTGGAGTGTAAAGCTGTGGGGAAGGGCAGGAGATAGCAGTGGATGAAAACTGGCTGCCCCAAAGCAGAAAGTGGAGCCTGGTTGGAGTGTCTCTCCCATTTTTGCTGCTACTGAAATGCAAACAAGTAAAGAGAGGAATAAAGTTACTTGCTGTTCATTATGCAGCTATCACAAAGTAGCCATCATTTGTGAGATGGGAGGGCTGTACACCTGCACCAAGATCTTCAGAAAGTGAGAAATGATTTGCTGTTGACACTTAACAGTTTTGGCCTTTTCTGTTGGAAAAAGCCTTTCTCAAATAAAATGAGTCACTATTCAACTAGCAAAGGCAGCAAGGGGCAAAAGTTTACTTGAGACCTTTCCGTCTTCACATGTCTCCAGTTTGGGGAATCATACATGCCATTTTCTTTCAGTATTTCTGTAGTTACGAGGGGATTGAAAATGTCACTTTTGGAAACCCTGAAGTTCTGGATTATCTGCAAAAGGGAGACTCAAGACCCCAGCACAGAATAACCAGCACTTTCTGTATGTCAGAGAGGCACCATTTTCATCACCCACTCTGACAATGCAAAAAAAAAGATGGAGAAATGCATTGGATTGTTCAATTGAAACATCTCTTAATTGCTGGACTCTGGAAAAAGAGGCTATGCCAGCACTTCCCAAAAACCTGAGTACTGGAATAGCCAGCATCAGGGAGGGGAGTGAATAAAACCTGTACAAGCATCTTCGGATGTTGTGGGTTAGCTGAGCCCTCCAGCCGAGGAGGAGCTGTGTTGAATTACTTTCCCCCTTTCATCTCCTTCCTTGGCAGTAATCACTGTGCAGGGGGGGAGGCTGCACCCACACTGCAGCAGCCACAGGAGCAGTGAGGGGGATGCTGGGATTTGGGCTCTGATCTGTTTGGAAATAAAGGAATAGGCTTAAATTTTGAAAGCCTTCTCCATGTCAGGGATGAGCTGAATGTTCCATGAAAAATGGTCTGAGTGAGGTTGGGAAGGGAGAAGAGTGTGTATGAGGAAAGGTGTAGCTGTTAGTGGGCTGGCATGATGGTACATGCCGATCTGCATCCTAGGTTGGGTGGTGTCTGAGCTGGGGGCATGACTGGTCACCTGGCTGCGTGTGCTCTGCAGGTTGGAAGCACATCACTACGGTGATCCCTGGAGTCCTGAGTGTGCTCTGGAGTTCCTGGGTTTGGCCACCAGCCCCACACTAGAGCTGCCCTCCTTGCTCCACGTCCTCATCTGCACACTCAGGGAACAGGAGAAACAAACATCCAGGAGCATATTGTTGTCCCTATCTAGAAACTGGTGACTGCTGGTACCTGCAGATTTGCTGGCGGATCAGAGGATTTCCCTAGTCTTGGGCAATTAGTGCCATGCTGGATCACAGGATTAGAAAAACTGGAAACAAACCTAAAATGACAGGAGGTACAGCACAGCTGGGGTTCCTGAGCCAACAGCTCTGCTGAGGGTATGTATGGTCACAGTCTGCTCCTCTGGTTTTGAAGTAAGAACGTTAACAGGAAGACTGGTTTGTTCATGGAGTCCCTGCCAGAGCCTAAAGTGTCTCCTGCAAGTGCAGGGTCTTGCACTCGGCAAATTCAGACCTCTTGGCCTTTTCCAACACAGCCTCCATGGTGTCCTTCCTTGTCCCCTCAGCTGAGGACTCTGTTTTTGCAATGCAGTTTCAGGGAATGCATTTTTAGGTGATTTAAACTCTTCTCACCAGTCCTGAAAGGATGTTTTATGCCAAGTAAGCCCAAGGTGTTTCTCCCACAGCATGAGTTGGTGTCAGACACAGATGGTGTGTGCCCTTGGCCCTATGACAAGTTAGGGACTCACTTGTCAGTGGTGTGTATGTATTTCTTGGGAACTATTAGAGGACTGAGGGGGAAAGGAAAGGGCAGGGGGAGAATAGCACAGGGAGGAGTGCTCTGGGACAGAATTATTTGGTGTTTCTAGGATTTGTCACCAGCTGCACCACTACAAAAGGTACAGAAGCTGCAAGAGCACCACTCCTGTGGGCTGCCAGGCCTCATCAGTGGCTTCACCTGGGCAGGGAGGCCCATTTAAAGCAAGGGGAGGGGTGAAGGTTGAGCAGTGGGCAAGGGGAAAGTTGTTTGTAAGCAACATCCAGTTCTGTATTGTAAAAGATGTTTATGAATCTGTTTTTCCAGAAGTATCTTTTTTTTAAAAAAGGAGTGGATTAGTACCTGGGAGAAAATGGGTGGAGAGGCTGAGGGGCAGTTGGTCTGCTCAAAGGCAGCAGTGAAGACACAGACTGCTGGCAGGTCACTCACAGAACAGATGCCCAGAAGATACAGGAGCATCTATCTTGCTATTGTTGTATGCAAGTGCCACCTCAGGTAAGTGACATGTAACCTGCACACACCTGCCAGTGTTAATGGGCTGCCTGAGAGATAACATGCTCGACTGAACTCTCGGGGGGAGATGTAAACCTCCAGAGTATTGCCAGGAAAGGGTCTCTGATGTCTTAATTTCAAGATGTGTCTGAAATCACCCTGTAGAAGTGAAACTAAATGGAGTTGAGAAGCATTGTTGAGGCTTTTCAAAAAATCTAGTATCATCTACTTTCATTTCTCAAGACGCCCTGTCAGAATAAAAATAAAAAATCCTCACAAAAATGAAGCAGGAGTTTTTCATATATTAAACAGTAACAAGTGAGAAGACTTCTCTGGCTCACCCAACCTCACTGCGTAATGCAGTAGAAAATGTTGTAGCAATCCTCTAACTAGTAGGAACTGAAAATAGTTTTCTCCTTTGCTATGCTTGTTTACTTCTCCTGTGCCAGATCTGTCTCTTGTTTGGCAGGGAAAACTGCCAGGAGTGTATGAGGAAACTCTGGAGGATGGGTGTTTGGAATACGCTGTTGTGAAAGCACTTGAACTTCTCTAGAGCCTTTCAGCAGAAGGTTGTGAAGCAGTTTACGAACATCAGTTAATGGGAGGCTGTAAATAAGAGAAATCTGCTGGAGAAGAGCTTTTAATGATGAGAGGCCTGGTCTGTTTTAACAATCTCGGAGGCAGAGGTTAATGTGGTGAAGGCCAGCACTGCTATGGGCTGACTTTCCGTCAGTAATTTTTAGCCTGTAACCACATGTGGGGCACGGCCCTGGCTGCTCGTAAAAATGTGCCAAGGTTGGGACAGGATGTCAGCCAGAGGGGCTGGTGGCTCCATGACAGGACCTGACCCGAGCACGGGGGCATGAGGAACAGCAGAAATAAATGCTCCTGTGAACATGTGCACACAGGACCGTGGGCCCTGCCCTCAGACATGGAGTTGTGTTTGGGTAACAAAAGCAATTGGTGCATTAGCCTTTCCTCCCATCTCCTGTTATCTGATCCTGCAGAGAATGACAGCCTAGGTTTGTTGTTTTCAGTGAGCAGCATCTGACTTCCAGGGAATCTGCACCCAAAATAAGTATTTGTACTTTATTTGGGGTGATGGCAGTGCTAGCTGTGAGATGCAGGCTTGCTCTGACCACTATTCCTCCCAAGTTTTTGCAACTCAAGCTTTACCACATGACCCATGCTTGGGAAGGGGAAAGTGATGGGCTAAACCTGGCTGTAAACAGAGGCTGTAACCTTTGTCCTTGCTCTTTAATTCTACCAAAGCAGAGCCCTGCTAGATGCATGGGGCTGCCAGGCAGCAGCTGGGGAGGAGGCAGCACATGTCCTCCCATGTCCTGCTGCATGCACTGCTGCTGAATGGGATCCAGCACTCCTGAATTTGCACACTTGGCCAGAAAAGTCCCTTTTTGGTGGCAGGACATTTAACACCATTTAATCTGCTGCCTTCAAGATGCCTGTCTGACTGAAGCTTTACAGCCTCCAAGGTTACATGCATCAGGTCCACAATACTCCACAGCCAGAGACAACTGAAGTAACAACTTGGCTGCATACACACAGCAGTCAGTGAAGTCTGCACCACAACACAGTCAGTCTGATCTTTCATCTTGTGTCTACATCACTCTCTGTCAGTATTTTGAAGTTGAAACCACAGAGGTTGCCTAGCACAGCTACCCAAGACCCAGAACTCGCTAGAAAATGAGCCAGGGCTGGTGAGAGAGAGGGAGGGATCTGGAGAAGTGAGAAACCTGGGCACCCCACGGTAATACATTTTGGAACAGGATGCAGAGCCACGTGCTGCCTTTAATGCATTTGGTTATTACTTTTTGTGAAATACCAAAGTTACCTCTTTGGCAGTTTTTAACTTTTTCTGAACTCTAAGAGTCTCTTTAGCAGCTGCAAAACACCTGCTTAAAAATTAAGGTGCTTAACTTCAACAATACTTAATTCAATGTGATAGCAGCTTCTCTACCAGTTCCTTCAGGC